TATATATATATATATATATATATACATATGTGTGTGTATATATATATATATATATATATATATATATATATATATATATATATATATATATATATATATATATATATATATATATATATATATATATATATATATATATATATATATATATATAAATATATATAAAAATTTTCCCATTACGTATGTACTCTGACCTTTCACCTAGTTACCTTTATATGTGTGAGCACACACACGCACGCGCGGGCAAACATTTGTCATGCTTTTGTTGTTGTTTTGAAAAAAAAACAACTCGAGAGGGTGATTAAATAAGCAAATTCGCATTTTCGTGTCAACAATCCCTTTAAATGTTAAAAGGTGAAAGTGAATCCAGCATTACTAAACGATTTCTGTATGATTTCTGTGTGAAACTCACTTGTACGGTCTCTTCGATAAAGCTTTGGTAACTGCGACCACATGATTGGTCACTTCCTGCCAGCTGGACAGGAAGCGAACGGTTATATTCCAGTAGAGCTGCAGGTGAACCAAAAGCTGTCAGTCACAGAAAATAAGACATGATTACTGGAAAGACACATTACTGATGAATATTCAGAGATTGTCTATTATATTAGATTGATAATAATATATAATACTAATAATCATTCATTCATTTTCCTTCGGCCTAGTTCCTTTATTAATCCAGCATATGTTTTACACAGCGGATGCTCTTCCAGCTGCAACCCAGCACTGGGAAACACCCATATACACTCATTCACACACACACACACACACTCATACACTACGGCCTTACTTTAGTTTATTCAATTCCCCTATAGCGTATGTGTTTAGACTGTGGGGGGAAACCGGAGCACCCGGAGGAAACCCATGCCAACATGAGGAGAACATGCAAACTCCACACAGAAATGCCAACTGGCCTAGCCGGGACTCAAATCAGCGACCTTCTTGCTGTGAGGCGACCCACTGAGCCACTGTGATGCCCATAATATATTAATACATATATATGATATTATATAATATTCTCTCAGACCTCTTCTGTGTCCATATGGTGCTCATTCAGTTGAAAGTCAAGCTCATCTTCATCCCAAGATGCTGATCTGAACACACACACACACTTATAGAAGTCCACTCTAGTTCTATATATGAATGATTCTGTATTATTATCAACTTAAAAGATTAATAAGATGATTTGAGAGCGTGTACCGTCGCTGATAACCGATCACTAGAATTGTGACAACTTTTCCCTCTGTTCTGCTCAAGTACTTGTAGAGATGCTGCAACAGAGACTCCGCCCCCTCATGTATTTCACCTATAGGAGCCTAGAATGAAGATCAACACAAGAAACTCCACTAAATACAGTAAAGAGAATAGTACTACTACTAAAATAATACCATAACCATTATATATTCATTATAATCGTACTATAATTACATTTATTATTTACATTAATTAAAAATATAACAATCTAACAACAGCAATTAATCAATTTAACAATTTATAATATTATAAATATATATATACATTATAATTGTATCATAGTGTGTCCGCGAGGTCTTAAAAAGTATTACAAGTTGATAAATTAATTTCGAGAAATTTAAGGCCCTTAAAAAGTCTTAAATGCTGTGACAAAGTATTCAATTTTGCATAATTTTGATTATACAGTAGTAAAATTATAGTTGTATGCTAAAGTTTGAGATTTTGGGATGCTGTGCAGTTTCTGAAATCGATAAAATCCTGCTATATTAGATGTCACACTGCTTTGTTTACTGCAGTAACCAAGGCAGCACCATTATTTCTGCTGTTCTACAGGCGACGTTATATTCTGGATTAACATTTTTATAAAGTATATGAATAATGTTTTAGTTTAGGATTAGTTTCTTACAACCAGTTTTTGGTGAATATATTTAAAATGTTGCTAATGCTACCGTTTCAGACTTAAAGTGGCGATGAGGTCTTAAAATGTATGGAAAGAGTTTAATGAAAGGTATTGAATTTTACTCTCTGATTCCGGTATATACCCTGTATATTATGTTCATTATTATATTATGATTATTTTTTATTAAAATTATATATTGACAATATATTTAAATAAAAATCATTTATAACATTAGGTGACTCAGTGGCGCAGTAGGTAGTGCTGTCGCCTCACAGCAAGAAGTTTGCTGGTTTGACCTTGGCTAGGTCAGTTGCTGTTTCTGTGTGGAGTTTGCAAGTTTTCCCTGCGTTCGCGTGGGTTTCCTCCGGGTGCTCCGGTTTCCCCCACAGTCCAAACACATGCGGTACAGGTGAATTGGGTAGGCTAAATTGTCCATAGGTGTATGAGTGTGAATGAGAGAGTGTGGATGTTTCCCAGAGATGGGTTTTGTCTGGAAGGGCATCCGCTGTGTAAAAACTTGCTGGATAAGTTGGCGGTTCATTCCGCTGTGGTGACCCCGGATTAATAAAGGGACTAAGCCGACAAGAAAATGAATGAATGAATAAATTCATAACATTCATTCATTCATTTTTCTGTCGGCTTAGTCCCTTTATTAATCCGGGGTCACCACAGCGGAATGAACCGCCAACTTATCCAGCAACAGAAACATCCACACTCTCTCATTCACACTCATACACTATGGACAATTTAGCCTACCCAATTCACCTGTACCGCATGTGTTTGGACTGTGGGGGAAACCGGAGCACCCGGAGGAATCCCACGCGAACGCAGGGAGAACATGCAAACTCCACACAGAAATGCCAACTGAGCCGAGGATCGAACCAGCGACCCAGCGACCTTCTTGCTGTGAGGCGAACGTGCTACCCACTGCGTCGCCGAATTCATAACATAAATAATTTAATTCTAATTATAAATAGTAAAAACCTTAGAGATTACACTGACGACAAGATATAGCAATATAATTAATAACACTAATTATATAGTAACATTACAATATTTCATTTTATAAAGTTATATATATAGTATATAACTTACATATAACAGTCTAAAAATAATTCACATTTTAACAGGATGGATTATATTTAATGACTAACCGACAGATTGCTCACTGTTTTATGTGAGCTCAGCATGTCCTCAAGTTCATCAGGGGAAATCACCATCAGGAGCTGATCTTCTTCAATAACTGCATGTTTCTCCTCATCCTCAGTCTGCAGTACAGCACACATTGAGAAGAAACTCCTGATTTAATAAGCACTTTCATATCTGGTGTTGCCCAATAATAACAGTGCCTGATAAACCCCTAATGGAGAGTTATTGGTTTCAAGTTATCAGTGACCTGAAGGGCTTGTCGAGTCCAGCTGATGCTGTTGGGAAGACCTTCATTTTCTATACGGTTTCTCCACTGCAGGCCATCCAGAGTCCTGAGCAACACATCACAGCCTCCGTCCCGCAACAGGACTAGACAAAAATTACAAGCAAGAATAATAAATAATATATCTATATATATATATAAAAAACATATAGTTAATTTTTGTACAGACAACGAAGAATGCTGGTGAAAAAACAATCGTGACAAAAGCAAACAACAAAAGTACTGAAACTCAAAAGGAAGTTTCTTTCTTCTGTATGTTTTAGTTTGTTTACATCATTTCTTTATGCATATAAATCAGTATCCCTTATTTTCACATCTCAAATGTTGACAGGTATGTGGGGCCGGAGTGAGACTCCTTTTCAGCCCTGGAGTTTCAAGCCTCACACCGGCCCACCTCAGTTCACGACTGACTATATTAAAATAAGTAAATAAATATTTCCAATTCAGTTTCTAATTACACTATCAAGTCTTTTTTTTTGAGAAAACAGCTGATTTAGAACTTCAAGGCCCGGTTTCACAGACAAGGCTTAGACTATAGCCAGGATTAGGCCATAGTTCAATTAGGACATTTAAGTAATTTTATTAACATGCTTAGAAAAAACCATTACTGGTGTGCATCTTGAGACAAAACAAAGGCACTGATCATTTTAAAAATCAATCAGTGCAATTTTATTTCAGTTGAAACAGCTCAGACTTACATTTTAGTCTGGGGGCAAATGTTCAACAACCCTAACAGTATTATATGTCTTAACAATAAAAATGAAAAATCTAATTACTCAGACGAGGATCAAACCCGGGTCGGTGGCTTTGTAACCTAACGTTCTAACTACTGGACCACAAGAACTGTACGCAGAAGTAACTCATCTGATTTATATCGTCACTAAACAGATAAAAAGAGCAGGGCTGCGTTAAAATAATGATTAAGAAGACTGTGGTCAAGTAAATAAATAAATTTATTTAAAAACTGACTGCTGAGAGCAACAGATTCTGGAGCTAGGGACACCGGTGTTCCGGAGAATTCAGTTCCCCTGTTCCCCCATTCACAGCGCATGCGCAACTTACGGCTGATTCCATGTACACAAATCATGACGTCATGAATTCACTTCGCGAACTGAAACAGTTCATGGTTGTTTTGCTGTATTTTCGTAAGCCCAGTGTTTATTTCATCACAGAGTTTAT